CACTCCCTCACGCCCCTCCATTCCCCCTCCCTCACTTCCCCATCCATCCCCACTCCCCCACTCCCCCATTCCCCCCTCCCCCACTCCCCCATTCCCTCACTTCCCCACTCCCCCACTCCCCCACTTCCCCACTCCCCCTCTCCCTTACTCCCCTACTCCCCCACTCCCCCACTCTCCCACTTCCCCACTCCCCCATTCCCCCATTCCCCTTCTCCCCCAGTCCCCCACTCCTCCACTCCTGCTCTTCCGTGTGTGTACACGCGGTTTTAGCTTTTTTTAAAGATTTTCGAGCATTTTCAAGCATTTCCGAGCATTTCCGACCATTTCCGAGCATTTTCGTAGCATTTTCGAGCTGTTTTTCGAGCAAGTTCGAGCATTGTCCTACATTTTCGACCATTTCCGATCATTTTCGGGCATTGTCGGATATCTTCCGCATTTGCGAGCATTTTAAAGCATTTTCAACCACGTTCGAGAATTTTCAAGTATTTTCCAGCATTTGAGGACATGGTTTTAGCCTTTTCAGCATTTTCAAGCATTTCCGACCTTTTCCGACAATTTTCGAGCATTTTGGTAGCGTTTTCGAGCTTTCGCAAGCGATTGTTGGAGCATTTCCAACATTTGCGAACATTTTCGTCAATTTCCGACTATGTTGGAGTATTGTCGAATATTTTCTTGTGTTTAAAGCATTTGTGTACATGTCTAAGCATTGTCGAGCATTTGCGCGCATTTTCGAGCATTTTTTCACCATTGTCGATTACATTCGATTATTTTTTCCAGCATTTTTGATCATTTTCGAGTATTTTGCAGTATTTCCGCACATCTTCATACATTTGCGAGCATTTTTCAACATATTCGAGATCAATTTTGAAGCTTTTTCAAGAATTTCGAGCAATTTCGAGAATTGTCCCGATAGCAAAGAGTGCTGGGCTGTGCATTTTCAAGCATTTTCGAGCATTTCCGGTCACTTCCAAGCATTTTGGTAGCATTTTTTAGCTTTTTCGAGCAATTTCGAGCATTGTGCAACATTTTGGAACATCTCCCGGGCATTGTCGGATATGTTCTTGTGTTTTCTAGCATTTGCGGACATTTCTGATCATTGTCGCGCATTTGCGAGCATTTTCGAGCATTTTGCACCACTTGCGACCATTTTTGATTTTTTTTTAGCATTTTCGAACATTTTCGAGCATTTTGAAGCATTTCCGAGCTTTTTTGTGCATTTGCGAGTATTTTCGAGAATTTTCAAGCATGTTCGAGAATTTTAGAAAATCGAAAGCACTTTTTGAGCTTTTTCAAGCATTTTCGAGATTTTTCAAGCATTTGCGAGCATTTTCAAGCATTTTCGAGCATTTTCGATCGTTTCCGATGATTTCCGAGCATTTTGGTAGCAATTTCCAACATTGTCGAATATTCTCTTGTGTTTTTGAGCATTTGTGTGCATTTCTGACTTTTGCAGCGCATTTTTTTTTGCGAGCATTTTCGATCATTGTCCACTAGTTTCGACCATTTTCGATCATTTTTGAGCATTTTTTATCATTGTCGAGCAAACATTTTTTATCATTGTCGAGCAAACGAAGCATTTCCGTGCATTTTCGTGCATTTGCGAGCATTTTCGAGCATTTTCAAGCACGTTCGAGAATTTTCAAGTATTTTCGAGCATTCGAGAGCCATTTTTAAGCTTTTTCAAGCATTTTCGAGCATTTTCAAGCATTTTGGAGCATTGCCGACCATTTCCAACCATTTCCAACCATTTCCGAAGATTTTGGTAGCATTTTTCAGCTTTTTCGAGCATTTTCGAGCATTTTCGAGCATTTTGTAGCATTGTCGAGCATTTTCCAGCATTTTCAAACAATGTCGAGCATTTTCGAACATTTTCAATCGTTTCCGGGAACTTTTTTCGAGCATTTTCGAGCATATGTGAGCATTTCCAAGCATTGCTAAGCATTTTCGAACACTTGTGAGGATGTTCGTGTTTTTTTTTTCGATCACTTTCAAGCACTTTCGAGCATTTTCGAGCACTTTCGAGCACTTTTCGACTCTTTTCGAGCATTTTCGATTATTCAGGAGCATTTCCGAGCATTTCCAAGCATTTTCGAACATGGCCAGCATTTGCAAGCGCTGGGTGGTTTTAACATTTTGGAGCATTTTCGACCATTCCGGAACATTTTAGAGGGGAGGGGGGAGAGGGGGACAGAGGGGGCAGGGGGGAGGGGGGAGGAGGGTGGAGAGGGGAGGGAAGGGAGAGGAGAGGGGAGGGGGGAGGGAGGGGAGGGGGGAGGGGGAGGGCGGAGGGAGCCTGGTGTCCGATAGCAAAGAGTGCAGGGGGAGGAAACCTTGAAACTAAAGACTGCTGGAGACGGCCCGATAGCAAAGAGTGCAGGGCCAGGAAAACTTGAAACTAAAGACTGCTGGAGACGGCTGGGGCCTGGTGCCCGGTAGCAAAGAGTGCAGGGGGGGGAAACCTTGAAACTAAAGCCTGCTGGAGACGGCTGGGGCCTGGTGCTCGATAGCAAAGAGTGCAGAGGGAGGAAACCTTGAAATTAAAGACTGTTGGAGATGGCTGGGGCCTGGTGCCCGATAGCAAAGAGTGCAAGGGGAGGAAACCTTGAAACTAAAGACTGCTGGAGACGCTGGAGCCTTGGTTCGATAGCAAAGAGTGCAGGGGCAAGAAACCTTGAAACTAAAGACTGCTGGAGGCCTGGTGCCCGATAGTAAGGGGGGAGAAACCTTGAAACTAAAGACTGCTGGAGGCGGCTAGTGTTGTCCGACAGCAAAGAGTGCAGGGCCAGGTAAACTTGAAACTAAAGACTGCTGGAGACGGCTGGGGCCTGGTGCCCGGTAGCAAAGAGTGCAGGGGGAGGAAACCTTGAAACTAAAGCCTGCTGGAGACGGCTGGGGCCTGGTGCTCGATAGCAAAGAGTGCAGAGGGAGGAAACCTTGAAACTAAAGACTGCTGGAGACGGCTGGGGCCTGGTGCCCGATAGCAAAGAATGCAAGGGGAGGAAACCTTGAAACTAAAGACTGCTGGAGACGGCTGGGGCCTTGGTCCGATAGCAAAGAGTGCAGGGGCAAGAAACCTTGAAACTAAAGACTGCTGGAGGCCTGGTGCCCGATAGTAAGGGGGGAGAAACCTTGAAACTAAAGACTGCTGGAGGCGGCTGGTGTTGTCCGACAGCAAAGAGTGCAGGGGCAGGAAACCTTGAAATCAAAGACTGCTGGAGACAGCTGGGGCCTGGTGCCCGGTAGCAAAGAGTGCAGGGGGGGGAAACCTTGAAACTAAAGCCTGCTGGAGACGGCTGGGGCCTGGTGCTCGATAGCAAAGAGTGCAGGGGGAGGAAACCTTGAAACTAAAGACTGCTGGAGACGGCTGTGGCCTGGTGCCCGATAGCAAAGAGTGCAAGGGGAGGAAACCTTGAAACTAAAGACTGCTGGAGACAGCTGGGGCCTTGGTCCGATAGCAAAGAGTGCCGGGGCAAGAAACCTTGAAACTAAAGACTGCTGGAGGCCTGGTGCCCGATTGCAGAGGGAGGAAACCTTGAAACTAATTTTTCAAGCATTTCCATGCATGTTGTATCGTTTGCATCATATGTACAAACATTTTCAAAAAAAAACTACAGTGTGTTGAAACAATTTGAGAATCAACCGTTTGGCTGCATGTCCGACCCTTTTTGCACTATTTTGGAGCATTATCAAGCATGTTCGAGCCCGTTTAACTCCTAAACCTTAAACTCTAAACCCGAAACCCTGTTGGGACTTGGTGCTCGATAGCAAAGAGTGCAGGGTAAGAAACCTTGAAACTAGAGACTGCTAGAGACGGCTGAGGCTTGGTGCGCGATAGCAAAGAGTGCTGGGCTGGGCATTTCCGAGCATTTCCGCCTATTTCCGCCTATTTCCGAGCATTTCCGAGCATTTTGGTAGCATTTTCGAGCTTTTTCGAGCAATTTCGAGTCATTTCGAGCATTGTCCAACATTTTCGACCATTTCCGACCATTTTCGGGCATTGTCGGATATTTTCTTGCGTTTTCCAGCATTTTCGATCATTGTCGAGCATTTTGGAGCATTTTCGCGCATTTTCGAGCATTTTCAAGTATTTTCAACCACGTTCAGTATTCGAGTACATCTTTTTTGGTTTTTTCAAACATTTTCGAGCATTTTCAAGCATTTCCGACCTTTTTCCGACAATTTTTGTGCATTTTCGTGCATTTGCGAGCATTTTCAAGCATTTAAACCCTAGGGTTTAGGGCTTAAACCCTAGATTTTAGGGTTTGGGCTTAAATTTAGGGTTTAGGGCTTAAACCCTAGGGTTTAGGGCTAAAACCCGAAGGCTTAATACCTAGGGTCTAGGGCTTAAACCTTAGGGTTTAGGGCTGCAACCCTAGGGTTTGGGCAACAATTTAGGGTTTAGAGCTTAAACACTAGTTTAGGGCTTGCAAATTGTAGGGTTTAGGGCTTAAACCGTAGGGTTTAGGGCTTAAACCCTACATTATAGGGCTTAAATCCTAGGGTTTAGGGCTAAAACCTTAGGGTTTAAGCACGTGTAATTTCGTCACTTGCTGGCAAAGTTTGGCTTTTGAAGGCTTTTTTTTTTTTTTTGGGGGGGGGGGGGGGGGGGGGGGGGGGCGCGGAGGGCGCATAAATGACGCGTAGGACGGCTTTTGCAAAAGCAGGCGCGGGCTGAAGAGGACTTATGAACCGTTAACAACCACACTAGCACACAGACCTTTTGAACTGCTGTCACTGGTCTGAGCTTGGCTGGGAAAGGGGCTGCGAATGCAGCACTGTCATCTTCCTGCATGCACACATGCAAGGCTGTCTTGAATAGGCTTCTACTCTTGACACCCCTCCACAGGAGGAACTGGCCAGGTACCTTGGCCTGTTGCTACTGGACCTGCCTATTCATGCTGTCTCACTCCCAGCTTCGGCTCACTGTTCCCAGGAGTCACGCAGTTGCCAGCCCGTCTCACGTAGAGGGTCACTGGCCTTCAACCTAGGTCGAGATCCACTCAGACCTTCCAGTTGGCGATCCACTTCGAAGTCTCTCCACGAGTCCGAAGATTCTCATACTGAATTCGGCATTGGGCTCGATGACGATGGATGTAGAGCACATACCTCAGCTGCTTGGTGCTTGGCCGGTCCGACAGCGATTCATCTCCACCATCGAACTTGTGCAGAAGTCGCTCCATCAGGTCTTGCTTCAACCCTGTCACCTGGAGCCCTTCCACTCGTAGGCCACTCTTGAGTTCTTCCACCGTGAGCAGGCTCAAGGTATCTCTCACCACTCTGACTCGATCGTCGACACCAGTTCTGGCGTCACCACGGAAACTCATCCTGTCACTGTCACTCTGTCCAGCAGGGGATCTCAGCACGGAGGTTCCCTCGGGGACAGATGGCATCCGTGTTGTAGGAACCTCTGCACTGTGTTGAGCCTCCTCAGCACCGCTGCCACGAGGAGTGTCACGACGACTGAGTGCCATGGCTGCACTGGACTGCGCTACACTGGGCCTATTGCCCCTTCCACACAACCAGTGCCAACCTTTCAAAAGCACTTCAACTCCCTTGTAGCTGGCAAACAGCAACCCAACCAAGGCCAACAGGTGAACCAACCCTAAGTAAAGGTTCAACCACCAGACCTCTTCACTCTGAACTGGAGCTGCTTGGACTTTCTCCAAACAGCAGCTGACCACAGCTGCCACGATGCCCCTTTCCAAGGGCAGCTGCTTCATCAGCGAGTCCATTCTGGCTGCTTCTAAAGCCTTCGTGCCAAGATCCGAGATGTTCATGAGCGTATCCACTTTGCCTATGGAAAGTTCTTTGTTTCGAACTGCTTGCTGTATCCACATCTCCTTCAGGGATAAGTGCTTGACTTTTCCACACCCTACCCTCTGTGCCATCGACCTGGCGGCCGAGCTATCGCTCAGCACTCGGTGCTCGACCTTCCAACCAAAGTGTCGGAGGATCTCTGTTGTAAGCTTTCCTTCTGCTGCTGTCTTGACCATGGCATAGAACTCGGCCTCGCCCGACGATAGGGCCACGAGACTTTGTCGACCACAACTCGTGTCTAGGAGGTGCTTCCCAAACCTCTGATACGTGGAACTCATAGACCTTCTGGTTCTGCGATCTGTTGCCCAGTCTGAGTCTGAAAAGGACTCTAGCTGCGCAGGTGCTTCTTGCAATTCGAAGTGCCATTTCTCGACGGGGTACTTGGCAATGTACTTTCCGACGCGCTTCAGCCTTAGCCAATGAATCTCCAAGGGCTTGCTCATCCCTTCAGCCAGTTCACTTGCTGCGTACTGCAACGAGGGACGGTCGACTGCCATGTAAAGGATGGTGCCAGTCACTCGTCTGAAGACCTCGGCCCTCTCACGGCTGAGCTCCTTCTCCACTTCTCTGTTTCCCACGCCTGTGGCCTTCGAAGCAGGAGTGTCAACTCCTTTGCACCCTTTTAGCTCGAGTTCCTCGATGACTTGTGGGGCAAACTTGGGGTCGCATTCCCAGGTAAATCCTGAGCCTGTCCACTTGATCAGGCGCCCAAGATGGCGTCCTTCTGAGACTTCCCCTCCATGAGCTGGGTCACCGATTCTCGGTAGCACTTTCACCTCGTAGTTCTCCTCCATGATCTTGTCCAGCATGTCGAGAGCTTCTCTTTCTCCACTCGCCAGGAAATCGTCACCGTGGCACGACAAGCATAGATCATGCTCTTTCAAGTAGTAGGTGTTGGGGCACAACAGCAGCTCGTCGAAATTGTGTCTTGTTTTCACCTCACGGATCTTCACTCCCCATTGCCTAGAGGCTTCCCGGGTTCCGTTCATCGCCTTGTGCAACTCCCAGATGATGTTGGGAGTTCCTTCTGACGCCGGGGGTATTACCCCAATCTTTTCGCTGTTGTCGGCGTGGAAGAAGGCCACGCTCACATCATATCTTCCGATCAGCTTCTTGCTCTTGCTCTCACCGGGCCTCGCTGTGGCTGCGTGCGAAATCACAGCTCGATGCACTCGAATGGGAGGCGTTCCCATCGATACATCTTCTCGCTTGTAAGTGTTCACTTCCTGAGCGACCAAGCGACTCCTGACTCCAGGCTTCCCTTCGATCTCCTTCTCGGTGTCGATCCACCTGGATTTCACCAGTCTGAGCCCCTTCGCCTTGGCTTCATCATATGTGATGTCGCCTTTGACTCCAAAGGACTCCATCTTGGTCATCTCTTTCATCCTCCCGATCTTCACCTTCTCGGGGTCCAGCAACTTTCCAGTCTTCTCATCGTAGACCGGTTTCTCGAGCTCCTTCGCTGCTGATGCGATCATTCTGTCACTGATCACCATGGCCGCCACGTGCATTGTTGGCAATCCTGCCACCATTTCTTCTTCAACCTCCTCCGTTTTGCCTTCCGCTTCACGCTTTCTGCTAGGGGACCTTGGGCTGTCTGAGGCCCGAGCAGGTTCCGAGGTCCTGGCCTCCTTGAGGGGGCTGTCGCTAAGGTCCAACCCACCTCGCTTTCTTTCACTCGGGGCGCCAGAACCGGCAGCCACCGAGCCAGACCCAGAGGCGCGACTACCCGCGGCCTCTGAACTTGCCTGCTTATCCGAGGGGCCAGGGCCGGCACCCATCGGATCATCCCCTCCATTGCTTGATGGCTCAACTGTGTCGTCCCCGGGCGCTGTTTCCGCAACCACAGGTGCCCTGCACAGCTTTTCAAACCTGGCTCTGCACGTGGCATTGTGCTTGACTGGGGCGTCACCGTAAGAGGTATCGCACCCAGGGCAGCCTGGTGTCCTACCATGCTTGATCTGTCTTTCAACCGTGATGTACACACCACGAGGTTTAGGCACTACACCCTCCAACCTTCCAGCTGGCAAGGGTCTTCCCGGAGCATCGGGGGTCCTTTCTGGCGTGCCTCGAGGCTGCCAAGGTGCGCCTACCATCCTCAGAACAAACGTGGGGTCAAAGCGCTTGGCCTCAACTCGCCTACGAACCGAGCGACACCTCTGGATGCCGTTGGCTGTTGCCACGAAGTGCTCATCGTTGCTCAAACTTTTGCCTAGCCAAACCCCACATGACCAACGATCCTCAAGCTTTCTTAAGTTCTGATTCGAAATACGGAACAGAACGACCTCTCCAAACTCAACAACTTCGCCCTTGTAGGTCCTACCCCGAAGCCTCTCGTAGGCTGTACGACCGTCATGCTTGATGCCATACCTTGTACAAAGCCATCCTGCGTGACGAACCATCCAAGGAAACACGAGCGAGTCCTCTGTGACCTTAATGGTGGGGTACCTTTGTTCAAAGGCTACCTTAAGGGTCCTGACTTGGTTGCTAAGTTCCAGCACAGCTCGCTCAGCTGCACCGTTGGCCTTGTGGTCTCCTTTGGGCACTGGTTGACTGCTTGCTTTCTTGGGGTACCTCTTAACAAGTTCTTCACCTAAACTTTTGATAGCTGGCTCAGTATCGCTAACAACTATCATGTCTGGGTGACCACAGAACTTCATCCCTTCTAGCGCAAAAGCCATGGAATACGGATCCCCGGCGCCCTTGCTGTTAGCTACACCCGTAAACAGAGCCCCTGACTTTTGGTCCCTGCAAACCAAAACGGCCTTGGCACCAGCTTTGGCCTCGAGGATGTCCTTGGCGTCAGTGGAAGCTGCTTCCTGGGACAAGGCTTTCGTGAAGAAGCAGTAGTCGATACAGTACCTTGCTACGTCCTCTTTCTTTTCTTCTTGGCGCCTTTGATGGAAGTCTTCGGTGCCCTTCCCCACCACGCAAGACTCACACCAACTCCGAAATGGAAGGTGTGTTAACTCGTGTTCAGCACGCATCTCAGCACTGACACTCGGGGGTACCTTCTTGTGCTTAGCCTTACGCCCGGCCTCTCCTTCAGGTTCAGGCGGCTCTTCCAGGGGAGCGTCGCCAAGAGGCCTCGCATCCACCTGGGCAGGTGGGGCGCTGTCAGCTACCTCCACTCCCGGGGCGCTATCCGCTACCTCCGGTCTGGCTTCCCGAGCTGTTGGAGCTGCGATCCTATGCCTTTCAGGGTTCTGGGGCTTACCCATAGTCGCTTCCAACCAGTAGACACCTTTATCCTTCACTAAAGGAACTTTTGGGACTTCCTTCAAAGCTTTCTTGAGTTGCTCACCACCACAGCGACCTACGAGGAATTGGTGCGAGGGCCCTACCACCAACCAGGTTCCCTTCTGACTGGCTTCTGACATGGAGATAACAGGAAACTGGACGCTGTTGCTTTCCCTGTAGTTAAACTCAACTGGCACATCCCCATGCTTGAGCGACGAAGTCTTGCACTTACCCAATTTCAAGGCTTCTCCCGTGACCGTGTTCATGCGGACCCTGTCACCTGCAACCTCAACGGCCTTGTTGTCAAAGCCAACCGGAGCCAAACCACCCCCAGCCCCCGTGTCTACAAGGATCCTACAGTGGGTTTCAGGGTTTGCTACAGTTGCAACACACAAGGTTGAGGCTGCTAGGCCTTCACTTTCGGGCTCCTCTTGGGTTTCCGGGGCTGCTGCAGCCGTCCTACCTTTGTTCTCGGCCTTTTTCAAGTCCGCGGCTCGCTTCCTGCACTCGGCCTTTGTGTGGCCGGGTTTCTGACAGTAGAAGCACGGGCCCTTCTTCTTGTCGCCCTTGCCTCCTTTGTCTCCACCCTTCTTTCCGCCAGCGTCCTTGCCGGTGCTCTTGCCCTTGTCGCCTTTTCCATCACCCTTGGCGCCCTTCGGGGAACCCTTATGCGGCTTCTTTGGTAGGCCTCCTACGTCCATCGGTTGAGGCGTGCTTTGCAAGTACTTCTGCGTGCGGGCAATCTCTATGATCTCCGCTCTCATCTTCTTCCAGGTGTCAAGCCTGGATGAGTGCCTAATGAGGTGCTCCTTGACCGTCTGGTCTTCCACTCCCAGAATGACAATCCCGATGACGGTTTCGTCGTCCACGTCCTTCCCAGACTGCTTCTCGTACTCCCTCACCTTGCGCTCAAAGGACTCGATGCAACTGACCAAATCCCCTTCGAACTTGTAGCGCAGGATCTCCAGGAGCAGACCCACATATCTGGAGTTGAGCTTCGGGTTGTACTCCAGGTAGAGCTGCCGATAGGCCTCGACACCTTCATTGTCCCCACAGTTGTGCAGCTTGTCCAGCGCACGTCCCCTGCAGAGCATCACCAGGACGTAGTAGAGCTGAGTCGACAGCCCTTGCTCCTCCTCAGTGAGAAGTCGGTTCCAAAGTTGGATTTCCGACGACTCGGCCTTCTGGAGTAAGGCTTGGTACCTCCTGTCCATCGCCCCCATGTAGCTCCGAAGGATGAAGACCCAGTCGTTGAAGGTTGCTGGATCTCCTTTAAACACCTCAGGCTTTCCGAGCCCTCTTGTGTCCACCAAGGGGAGCAGCCCAAAGACACCTCCCTGACCCGGCGCTGTAGCAGCAACCTGGGCCGGTGGGCTCACTGGTGCCTGGGCCACACTTGAACTGGCGGCCTGAGCTTCCCGTAGCTCCTGCAGCTGCTGGCCTTGCACCAGCATCTGCTGTTGCATTGCAGCCATGGCTTCACCTGACTGCTGCAACTGTGCCCGGAGCTCCTGGATCAAAGCCTCCATGGCGACCACCAAGAGAACGGTGATCACCGTCAGGATCCGACTCCTCGTCACCCTGGCCTTCGTCGTCCGCCTCGTCCTCGGTGAGAAGTGGCTGCCGCTTCTTTCTTCTATTCTTCTTTTCCTTCTTCTCCTCTTTCCTCAGACGAAGCGCACGGATCTGCCTCTTCACAGCCCGACTGGCTGCAAGGAGAGTTGGCTCACGCTGCTTCTTTGTTCGCTCGTCGCAAGTGTCGCAAGCCTCCGCAAACTCCCGGACGATGTATTCTCCAACGGACCCAGGCGGGATAAGACCCGATTTGCGAAGTTCTGTCTTTCGAGCAGTCCTTTCACTGAAGCTAAGCCGGGGCCACTCTTCCCTCAACCTCTCGATCTTCGGGGTGATCCTCAGCCTGTACCGCTTCTTTGGTTTCGGCTTTGCCTGGGCTGTCCTCGTCACTAACTCCTCTGCTGCTTCGCTAAAGCCTTGGTGGCTTCTCCTCAACAAGGCCTTGTCCGATCTTCCTCCTCTCCTTTTCTTCTTGTTCGGCCTCTTCTTTGCCTTTGCCTGGATCTGCTGGTCCGGCTCACCAGCAGGGCGATCTCGTCCACGATCTCCTTGGGCTCTCTGGCCCTGCCTTTCAGACCTTGACCGGCCTGGTCCTTTCTTGCCCTTCTGGGCTCCTTTGCTGGGTTTGCCCCAGCCCTTGCCCGTGTTGACCACAGGCTGCCAGGGGTGCGCAGGGCGCAACCACCTGGCTGCAAGGGGTGCCTCGAAGGCAACCTCCTTGTCCGAGCAGCTCCCTGGGTCAGAGCCGCTCCGCTACCATGCAAAAGCAGGCGCGGGCTGAAGAGGACTTATGAACCGTTAACAACCACACTAGCACACAGACCTTTTGAACTGCTGTCACTGGTCTGAGCTTGGCTGGGAAAGGGGCTGCGAATGCAGCACTGTCATCTTCCTGCATGCACACATGCAAGGCTGTCTTGAATAGGCTTCTACTCTTGACAGCTTTGGACATAGTTCCGAGAACAAAAAAATAACTAATAAAGACGGGTGCTACACGTTGCTTGTTTCGAAGATTATAACCCCACATATGAGCACCCAGTCCATAACAAACAATCTCATTGAGAACATGCCGGGAGAGCTTGTCCACCTCTTGCCAAAACGTCTCTCACGGTATAGGACTCATTTAAAATGGATTTGAACCTTAAACCTCAGAACTTCGGCCACCACATGATCTGCTACGTCAGTTCTAGCTGCTGTTGCTGCTGGGCGCTGCTGCTGTGTGCTGCTGCTGCCGGCTTCTGCTTCATTGTTCGGAGCACGCTAACTCTGCAGTTCGCTAGCATTGCTGTGTTTTGGGGCATTTTGGTCATGAGTGTGCGGTGTTCAAGACAGCTCTATCATGAAGTCTTGGGCAGCTACCTCTTGGGTGGCGTGGACATGCTGCCGCTCATGCTCAAGGCTGTGTGCTGCAGCTGATCGTACTTAGCTTGCATTTTCTGCCGCGGTGAACTCTAGCGAGCACATGCATGCAGTACATGTTTGAGTGTGCTATTTTTTCATCGTACACTTATGTAATATAATTTCGAGGCTTTGAATAGGTCTGGTTGCCCTACCATTCTGGCCAGTCCTTGTTTCAACATGGTTCTTACGGCGGAACAAGTGGCGCAAGTGTTGTCCATGAGACGCAAGAATAAATCTGTGGCCGAGATTGCGAAGAAGGTCGATTGCTCGGAGCGAACGGTCTTCAGGTATTTGGATCCGGACTACCAGTCTGACACTTTGCGTAAGAAGCAATCTGCTTTGCGAGAGGAAGCCGCAGCGGCCTCCAGGAAGAGGTGCCGTCAAGATGCAGAAAGCTCCTCCAGCTCATACAAAGAGGAGGCAGTTCAGGTAACTGTTGGCGATAGGAAGGTCAACCTTCATGTGAGGCGGGGGTCCAGCGACGTAACACTTCTGGATGAAATCTTCAAAAAGAAGTTTTATGCCCCCAAAACCTTGTTTGCCCGCTCTTTTGTGAGCGATCCTCGTCTGAACTGGCATCTGATGGACGTCGGTGGAAACATTGGGGCAGCGGCCATTTTCCTGATGAACCATATCGAAGGTCGTCTGCGGAGTGTCGATTTCATTGAGCCGGAGATGTCAAACATGACCTTAGCCAAGAAAAATCTCCGTGGGTCGACGGCCGGGTGTGGCTTTACATTCCATCAGGCAGCGCTGGTTGGCAATGAACGCATCTACGATGGCAAGATCAAGTTCAGCGTTGCCAACAGTAAGTATAATCGATACAGGCATTGCTTGACTGAGTACCAAGTTGTTGCCGATGCAACTCATGAACGTGTGGCAGCAATACGATTTTCCACTTTGCTGCGAGAGGTTGCTCAGCCTGCACTTTTTTTGAAGCTGGACTGTGAAGGCCCGGAGCGACATATTCTCACGATTCTCGCCAAAGCCATGAATCAAGGGCGGATGCCAGATTGTACGCGGATGGTTCTTGTCATTGCAGGGTATCTTGGGACAACATTGGCTGGGGCGTTGATGAGTACAGAGAATGGCTAGAGGAGCTTCAGCAAGTTGGCTTGGATTGGTCGGCAATGGAGATGAAGGCCTCCGCACCACCTCTGGGAGCAGAGCCTGGTGGATTCACGCGGAGCTCTGTAAACGCGGCATCACGTCTGGAGATCTGCTACCTGAAGCGGTCGACTGAGCTGCAAGACAGATAGGTAGCCTAAACTGTCCACTACGCACATTCAAAAAACACATATGTATATATATATATGTATACAGAGACATGCTTTTGTTCCTTTTGGTTTAAGGCAGTTTTAATTGCGCCATACAGTTCTGCTCTGTTAAAGGCAGCTCGTATACATTTCTACTTTTGCTTCGCAGCGCCACTTAATTTCAAGGCTGCTGCGCCGGCTGCATCCTCACCTACGGGTTTGAAGTGATCGCCGGATTTATCAAGTTGTTTTTGTTAAGAATGCATGTGCACGACAACCAAAAAAACTTCTTCGAGGGTTCTCTGGATGGCTAACCGCATTTTTTATAATCATAAGATTGTTTGTTTGCTCTACATTGGTGTGTAGTGAAAATACTGCACTTAGTGTACAATGTGTGTGTTTTTTTTGTTTGTCTGGCCATCTGGGGAACTCGGGGGCGCCACATTAAGATGAGATTGTTATCAGAACTAATGCAGCGCTGTTTTTGACAATTTGTCGGAAACATATAATGGTTTCTTGTTGGTTGTTGTTGTGTTCTAGTGTGGTCGTCGTTTGGGGGTGTACCGACGGCCAGACTAAGTCTCCAGATGCCTTAGGTCCCCTCAAACTTGGCGTGCCCCCAGGGTTGTGCAAGATGATCCTAACTTATAAAACTAACTTGCTTTCTGTGTTTTAAGATCTTGCAAACCCATCAGTTTCACGGGCCTTTCTCGGGTGGCGACGTTGCTGCTGGCCCTGTGTCACCCGAATTCAGAATTCAATCATTTCGCTTCAAAAAAAAGTGTGTGCGTGGTGTGGAAAGCCGCTTAATGCAACCTGAAACTCCGATCCAGCATTAGTCAACCCGAAACACTGAAACCCGAATTTCCCAAGGTCGCTACCCCTAAACCCGAAAACCCTTAAACCTGAACCCCTTATGCAGACCCAAATCCTTAAATTTACAACCACTGGACTGATGCTCATTTTGTCGACTCTCTTCTGGTCGTTGTTCTGCTCCATGGAGGAAGTGTATCCCTAGCAAAAAAAATCAGCTGGACGGCTGATCCCCCCCTGTTACGACGGGGGCCGCGGCATGGGATGGCTACCTCTTGGGTGGCGTGGAAATGCTGCCGCACATGCTCAAGGCTGTGTGCTGCAGCTGGTTGTACTTAGCTTGCATTTTCTGCCGCGGTGAATCTTTCCGTGTCGCTCATGCTCAGAAGCTGCCGTAGCTGAAGTTACACGCTTTGACATGTACTCTAGCGAGCACATGCACGCAGTACATGTTTGAGTGTGCTGTTTTTTTCATCGTACACTCATGTAAGCAAAGCTTCTGGAAGGCTCTTGGTAGGCTCCAGGAAGGTCGGAAAGGGTTCCGAAAGAGACAGTAAAAACTAAAGAGCAATAGAAAAGGGAAAACAAAGAGAAAACAGAAAAAAGATAGAGATGCTGACTGTGTGTGTGTGTGCATGTGTGCAGTGGAACGTGTCTTTGCTTCACCGGTAACACAGGGTTTAGGGTTTTAAGGATGAGAGTTTAGTGTCTAAGGGTTTCGGGTTTGAAGGTTTTATGACTTAAGGTTTTGGGTTCTAGGGCTTCATGAGGGTTTTAGGATTTTGTTTCTTTTCCTGGCGTAGTCTCCCATTCTTTTGTCATTTCCTGGTCCTTCGCGACCTTTTTTAGCTCGAGCAACTTTGTGCCCTCGCTGCCCCCCTGCCATCCTTTCAGCTTTCAGGCGCCCTCGGCTTGTTGTTGCCTTTTTTTGTGTTGGGTTTTTGTGAGTTCTTTGTTACCGGGTGACAGGTATGGCCAAGCTTCTGGCGATCATCGTATTGGTCTCGGTTTGTGAGGGTTTCGCGACCTGCTGCGGCGAAATGGGTTCTGAGTTGGTGAGTCTGCTCCCAGGTCCTGCTGCTGCTGCCCAACGTCTCTTGGATGTTTCATAAAGGGTATGTCTTTCTTCGGGTCTGTATTTGGTGTGTTGTGGTACTTCGGATTCGGGGGACCATATGTTTTTCTCGCAACTGAGGCCATGGCGATGCAGACGGATGAGGACAAGGTGTCTGAACTGCATGAAATGCATGGTTTTGGGGTGAGTGCGAGTTTGGAATCCATCTGAGGTCGTGCTTGATGGCCCATCCTTGGCAACTTTGCTCGGTTTAACGTGGGGGTTTTGTTAGTTTGCGGTGTATATGTTTGTTGGTTGGCGTTGCTACTTCCGTTATGAATGAGGAGCCCGCGCCCCTGGCGCCCGGTGCCTATCCGGTATCCTACGGACCGGTGGCTTGTCTCTATTAGTTTAGTTGAATAGTTTTATGTTGGAATTCTCATTTTTGTTTTAGTTGGTGGCGTAGCGTTCCATGCTTGTTGCTGCTGTTTCGACCTGTTTAAGGATAATCCAGCACCGGTGTGCACGCCTGCCTGGGCCGCGGCCCTTGTTTTTTTTTTCTAGGCTGAGGTGTAAACCTGGCTGAAATTGGTTGGGGACGGGGGGGAGGGGGGGGGGGTTGGGAATTGCGATTCTTGTCTTGCTCTGCTCAAATCTGCTGGAGGAAGACGGGCTCGACGTGAGGGCCTTGGTCTACGTGTGTGTGTGTGTGTGTGTGTGTGTGTGTGTGTGACTTTAGGATGGCGCCCAATATTCCGACCCGGAGGAGGAGGAGAACTTGCTGGGGGGGGGGGGGTGCAGTTCTTGCTTTGTTCTGCTGGAATCTGTTTGAGGAAGCGCCATCGCCCATTTACGATGGGCTGGACGTGAGGGCCTTGGTGTGTGTATGTGTGTGTGTGTGAGTGTGTGTCTTCTCGTGTCTGTCTGCTTGTGTTTGCTTGGGTGCACCTGTGTGTGCACGTGTCAGTGTTCTGGTTTTTTTTCCTTTAGGACGGTGCGCAGTACTCCGACCCCGAGGAGGAGGAGGAGGAGAACTTGCTGTTGTTGGATGTATTTGTTCTTCTTCTCGGTGGGGGGGGGGGGGTGCAGTTCTTGTTTTGTTCTGCTGGAATCTGTTTGAGGAAGCACCATCGCCCATTTACGATGGGCTGGACGTGAGGGCCTTGGTGTGTGTATGTGTGTGTGTGTGTGAGTGTGTGTCTTCTCGTGTCTGTCTGCTTGTGTTTGCTTGGGTGCACCTGTGTGTGCACGTGTCAGTGTTCTGGTTCTTTTTCCTTTAGGATGGTGCGCAGTACTCCGACTCCGAGGAGTTGGGGAACTTCTTGTCGTTCTTGTTGTTCTTGTTGTTCTTGTTGTTGCTCTTGTTGTTGCTGTTGTTGTTGTTGTTGTTGTTGTTGTTTTCCGGCAGGAAGAGGAGGACCAGGAGTCTGCCCTTTTTTGGGCAAGCCTCCTGGACGACATCGAGGTGGGGGCAGTCTGATCTAGTCCGGGATGGTTTCTTTGTTTTTGTTATTGTTGGTTCGGGAGGCTTCCGAGTCGACGGAACTCTTCGCCGTTTCCTCGGTCGTACTTGGCTCATTATCTTCTTGATATATTCTGTTATTCGTGATGCTGTTCTGAGGAAGTCCCGAGCGGCAGCGGGAACGCGCCCGCTATTCGTTTGCAATATTTTTGTTGTTGGTCTTTAAGAAGGTATGGAGAAACGTGTGTTCTTCTTTTGTTTAGGTCGTCATTGGCCTCTTTGACGCTGAGGAGTTCACTGCGCCGTACTTGCAGTGATGGTTTGTAACAGGGTTGCAATTTGTTTCTTTTGATTTGCAGGAGGAGGAGGTGGAAGAGCATGCGGACGAGGCGGACTCGAGAGTCTTTCGGGTTCAGGTGAAGCGGGTGTGTATTTCAGGCCAGCTTGCATGGTATTGTTCTTTTTTTGCTTCCAGGAGCCCGAGCCCATGTTGGAGAACGACGTCCGCGGCTTATGCGATTGGTTCGTGGTGTTCTTCAGGAGTTTGCGCTGATATTGTTTTTAGGCCACGATGAACGACAGGGCATTGGCGGTATCTCGTCTTTTTCAGCGTTTATTGTTTTTTTTGGTTCGCGTCTTGGTTGTGCGCCTGTTTAGTTGCCCTGAAAACATGTTTTATGTGATGCTGTAGCATGTCGCCGAGGAGGAGCTGGGCGCGAGTCCCAGGAAGAGGAGCAGGCCATTGACCGTTTTTTTCGTGCTTCTGGCCTTCGATGATTCTTGCCGTTGCCTTCCGTTCTTGTTGTTGTTTCTTGTTGTGGGCGTTTCGTCGGTGTGTTTTCTGGGGCAGGAGGGTCAACGACGTGAGGTGTCGATGTTTTGTTTTTGGTTTTGTTTTGGTTTTGTTGGGGGTCGGTGGGTAGGGGAGGCAAGTGCCGGTTGCTGTTTCTGTTTCCCTGCTGGCAGGGGGGTCAATGACAAGAGCAAGCTCCCTTGCGGAATTTGCACGCAATGCCAGGCCGCGTGGATGCGAGGCTAGATGGGATTTCGGATTCCGTTTTTTTTTTCTATCCTCTCGTGTTTTTTTTTTGGTTTGCTTTGTTTGCTTTTGGGCTTGTTTCTGCTCTGGTTTGGTATGGCAGGTAAGTACCAGCGGAGCCAGCGGTGCTTGTCAGCTGTGCCTCGTAACAGAGTTACGATGCAACTTCGTAATTCGCAATTGCGGGAGAGGAGGGCAGTTTCCCCTCAGGTGAAGGCTGCGGCGAAAGCCAAAGCCAAATTCATGTTCGTGCGCCCGAACGAACGTGTGATGCAATTTGCAGGGCACCATTTTGTTTATCGGCCCCCTCGCAGGGAGGAGGATGAGGATGAGAGCGAGGATCGTGATCCTGATGCTCGGGGGTCCGACGAGTGAGTTGTTTTTGTTGTTTTTTACTTATCTCCTTATTCTCCTATTTATATAACACGTAATCTCATTTTTACTAATACATGAACATATACATCCCCCATCGTCCTCACATTTTTCTGTTGAGCCATTTGAAGTGCTCACCACATTTGGGCTGCCTTGAGTGGCGCCATTTAAAGCTGACTATATCCCTATGCCTATACCCTAAACCCGAAACCCTAAACCCTAAACTCTAAACCCAAAACCCTAAACCCTGAACCCCATTTTTTCAATACCCCCCCAGGGACAAAGATCCCTTGCGCGTTCTTTTCTGCACGTAGGCAAGCTGTGCCTTTATGGACTTTTTTCTTTTCTAGTGTGCTTCCGAGACGAGGAGTGTGGGTTCATAGTTCCGTTTCGCAGTGCAGGGTTGTAGCTTGCTTTTATATGCTAGCTTTGGGGTTGGACGGGCGTAGAAGTGTTGAAGTAGATCTTCATTAATGGGTGTCCTTGCCTTACATCTCCTCGTCTCGGAAGCCGCTGTGCGGCCATTATTTTAGGGGAGTTCACAGTTCGAGTTGTCGGTAAAACCGTAGCTAAGGCAGAAGCTAACTGCATAATAAACGGAACTGTGTACTCCCTTACGAGACGGGCAGGGGGTTCCTCGGGCGGCACTTCGGTGCCCAGATGCTGCAGAGGAACCCTCTGTACCGGTGTGTCGTGCGTAACTCTTTGGGTTGGTTTTAGTTTCTAATTGAAATAGAAGACATGTGTAGCGGGTGGATTGATATTCGAATAGGCACTTGTCTTTAGTTGTTTGAAGGTTTAGGGTTAAACATACAGAATCTTTGTTGCACTTTCACGGGCCTAGCCCCCTTGCTCACCACAATATCGTCTTTTGGGTTGTGCTACATATATATATATATATGTATGTATGTAAATCTGTTCGGCATAGATTTTAACCTACGGGCACGACATAGGATTAGATGATGTGAGCAAGGGGGTCGTTGACTGCTGCGGGTCGGGCCTTTTAATTAGCCCCACTGGGCTTTTTTATTGTGTTTTAACTGGGTCGTCATTTTTTTGAAGGCTGCTTTCAGTAGCGCCATTTAAGATAATTTGTTGCCGAGCGCCTAATACCAGCATCCGTGGCTGTGGGGCTGGAGCCGGCTTGCACGTACCTTTTTCCCGTTGCGGCGACGCTGAAAATGATGTTCGGGCATTCTCAGGTAGGGAATGAGGGATTTTCCACGATTAAATTGTGAATGTATGGATTTGGAATTACAGATCATACATGGACCAAACCCTCTACAATCGATTGATGATGTATAATATATTCTCTGCTATACCGGGATCTGGTATTCAATTCTGAAAGAAAGGATCCTGAACATCTCAGGGTTTGGAAGATTCTCTAAAGTTTTAGGTCCTGAAGGGAGCTGATCGAATTTTGATAATTTTGCGATTACTTAAATGCAAATTGTGGTTCTGCTGAAGTGAACTGCTCTTGCTTTCCTCCACCATTTGGGGTTCCTAAACCCTGAACTCTAGGGTTTAGGGCTAAGGATTAGGGTGCTGGGGTTCCTGAACCCTAAACTCTAGGGTTTAGGGCTAAGGTTTATGGTTTTGGGGTTCCTAAACCCTAAACTCTAGGGTTTAGGGCTAAGGTTTAGGGTTTTGGCGTCCTGAACCCTAAACTCTAGAGTCAGGAGGGGTTTAGGGTTAAGGGGTTTAGGGCCTTGGAGTTTAGGGTTTATGTGTTTAGGGGTTTGGGGTTAAGAGTTAAGGGTTTAGGGTTAAGAGGTTTAGGGCTTAGGGGTTCTGCAACACATATACTTGTTTTTGGCGTAAGAATATTACTGGACAAACAAAAATAAAGCATTAAGCATTTTTTTTTTTGACGGGGGCCACGGTTTGGGACGCTGTGGCAGGTTTTCCGGGAACGTGAAGCTTGTCATCCTTTGGCAAAATTAGCCTGGCTGGAATTCTTTTGGGAGTCTGGCTTCTGGAAGCCTTTTAGGGGTCGTGGGGACGAGATGTCATGGCGAACCGGGGTGACCACCCCCCCTCCCCGTTGCGACGGGGACCGCGGCGTGGGACACCGCGGCAGCATCTCTTCCCGTGGGAAGGGGGGCTGATTTAGGGTTTAGGGTTTAGGGTTTAGGGTTTAGGGTTTAGGGTTTAGGGTTTAGGGTTTAGGGTTTAGGGTTCATAGAAATTGTATAGGGTTTGGGTCCCAATAACGTTTTGAGCGAAACGTTCTGAGCGAAACGTTTTGTGCGAAAGTTTTGAGCGAAACGTTTTGTGTGAAAGTTTTGGTTTTAGATTTGGGGTTTTGGGGTCGGCGTGGGGGGGGGGGGGGCGGCAGATGATACGACGGGACGGGGGAACGATTTCAATTTTGGTTTCAAGAATTCCATGAATCTTTGGATACCTCAGAATTCCAATATACTTTGAGGTTTTCAATGGAATATCCAATTCATAAACGAATATTTTTCGATAATTACATCTGAAATATTCACGAATTTTTGATTTTATAAGGATTCAAAGAATCTTTGGATATCTCAGAATGCATTTTTCGATTTTGCAAAGGGCTGGGGGCTGGGGGCTGGGGGCTGGGGGCTGCGGGCTGGGGGCTGGGGGTTTGGGGCTGGGGGCTGGGGGCTGGGGCTGGGGCTGGGGCTGGTGGCTGGGGCTGGGGCTGGGCTGGGCTGGGGCTGGGGCTGGTCGGCTGGGGCTGGGGGCTGGGGCTGGGGGCTTGGGGCTAGGGTGGGGGCTGGGGCTGGGGTGGGGCTCTGGCTGGCTGGGGGCTGGGGCTGGGGTGGGGGCTGGGGCTGGGGCTGGGGCTGGGGTGGGGGGGCTGGGGCTGGGGCTGGGGATGGGGCTGGGGCTGGGGGGGGCTGGGGCTGGGGCTGGGGCTGGGGCTGGGGCTGGGGCTGGGGCTGGGGGGGGGGCTGGGGGCTGGGGCTCTGGGGGCTGGCTCTGGGCTCTGGCTGGGGGGGCTGGGGCTGGGGTGGGGATGGGGCTGGGGGCTGGGGGCTGGGGCTGGGCGGGGCTGGGGATGGGGCTGGGCTGGGGCTGGGGCTGGGGCTGGGGCTGGGGCTGGGGCTGGGGCTGGGGCTGGGGCTGGGGCTGGGGCTGGGGCTGGGGCTGGGGGGGCGGGGCTGGGGCTGGGGCTGGGGCTGGGGCTGGGGCTGGGGCTGGGGCTGGGGCTGGGGCTGGGGCTGGGGCTGGGGCTGGGGCTGGGGCTGGGGCTGGGGCTGGGGCTGGGGCTAAACCTGGGCCTGGGCCTGGAGCTAGGCTGGGGCTGGGGCTAAACCTGGGGCTGGGGTTTGCCGGGGTGGGGTGCTGGCTATTTGCTTCACTCGGCTTGTCAGCTGTGAGGGATCTGGGGGTGTCTGGGGGTCTGCGGGGGTTTGAGTTGAAGTGAATTGAAGTGAATTGAATATTCGGCTTGCCAAAAGCGATTTGAATTAATTTACTTAAACTCAGCTTGTCAGCTGTTTAGACAAATAACATGGGAAATTCAGGGGGGCGCTTGCCAACAGTGGTTTGAACTAGTTTACTTAAACTCGGCTTGTCAGCTGTTTAAACAAATATGGGGGAAATTCAGAGTGGTACCACATACAATTTCTAGTTATTTCGTCTTGAGGGTTTAGGGTTTAGGGTTTAGGGTTTAGGGTTTAGGGTTTAGGGTTATAGAAATTGTATAGGGTTTGAGTCCGAAGTTTTTGGGGGGGTTTTGGGGGGTTTTGTTTTTTAACTTTTGCTACTTCGTTTTTTTTTTTTTTTTTGGGGGGGGGGGCTTGGCTGGAGGGGCAGTACGGGGTTTGCCGGGTTTTGCCGGGTTTTGCCGGGATTTGCCCGGTTTTGTCGGGTTTTTTTTTTGCTCCAATGATTGCTGGGGCTGGGGCTGGGGCTGGGGCTGGGGCTGGGGCTGGGGCTGGGGTTGGGGCTGGGGCTGGGGCTGGGGCTTGGGGCTGGGGCTGGGGCGGCTGGGGCGGCTGGGGCTGCTGGGGCTGCTGGGGCTGCTGGGGCTGCTGGGGCTGCTGGGGCTGCTGGGGCTGCTGGGGCTGCTGGGGCTGCTGGGGCTGCTGGGGCTGCTGGGGCTGCTGGGGCTGCTTTCGCTGCTGGGGCTGCTTTTGCTGCTGGGGCTGCTGGGGCTGCTGGGGCTGCTGGGGCTGCTTTTGCTGCTGGGGCTGCTTTTGCTGCTGGGGCTGCTTTTGCTGCTGGGGCTGCTGGGGCTGCTGGGGCTGGTGCTGCTGGGGCTGGTGCTGCTGGGCTGGTGGTGTTGGGGCTGGGGCTGGGGCTGGGGGCTGGGGGTTGGGGGCTGGGCTGGGGCTGGGGCTGGGGCTGGGGCTGGGGGCTGCTGGGGCTGCTGGGGCTGCTGGGGCTGCTGGGGCTGCTGAAACTGCTGGGGCTGCTGGGGCTGCTGAAACTGCTGGGGCTGCTGAAACTGCTGGGGCTGCTGGGGCTGCTGGGGCTGCTGGGGCTGCTGGGGCTGCTGGGGCTGCTGGGGCTGCTGGGGCTGCTGGGGCTGCTGGGGCTGGGGCTGCTGGGGCTGGGGCTGCTGGGGCTGGTGCTGCTGGGCCTGGTGCTGCTGGGGCTGGTGCTGCTGGGGCTGGTGCTGCTGGGGCTGGGGCTGGGGCTGGGGGCTGGGGGCTGGGGGATGGGGGCTGGGGGCTGGGGGCTGGGGCTGGGGGGTGGGGGTGGGGACGGGTGGGGCTGGGGATTGCGGGCTGGGGCTGGGGCTGGGGCTGGGGCTGGGGCTGGGCTGGGGCTGGGGCTGGGGCTGGGGCTGGGGCTGGGGCTGGGCTGGGGCTGGGGCTGGGGCTGGGGCTGGGGCTGGGGCTGGGGCTGGGGCTGGGGCTGGGGCTGGGGCTGGCGCTTGGGGCTGGGGCTGGGGCTGGGGTTGGGGCTGGGGCTGGGGCTGGGGATGGGGCTGGGGCTGGGGCTGGGGCTGGGGCTGGGGCTGGGGCTGGGGCTGGGGCGGGGTTGGTGCCTTGGATGCTTAACGTCTATTCTGCGCGTGC